TCTGTTTGTATGCCTGTCTCTCTATGTCTGCCTGTCTTTCTATCTGTCTGTCCATCCATATCATTTCACCTGCCAACATTTACAGAGGCATCATTTCTCTGCATGGATTTTGGTGTTCTGAATGAAGCTCTCTTTGTCTCTCCCAGAGGGTCCATCACAGTGCACCTTCATGCTAAAGGAGACAGAACCCAGCAAAAACCAACCGAAGACCATGGAAATTGAACTGCAGAACAAGGACCAACAACTTGAGATGATGAGGACTGAGTTGGAGAAACTAAAAGCTGAGTTGGCGGAAAAAAACAAACAGCTAGAAAAGAAAGAGATTCTTCCTAGTGAGGGAGAGAGACAGGAAATGGAAAGGCACATGCAGGTTGAAGAGGAAGACGGAGTTCTGAGAAAGGTGAGGGAGGTCAAAGTTGAGTTGGAAAATACAGTAAAGAATTTACAAGAGAAAAAGGAACAACTGGCCATTGTGAGCAAACTGCTGAGTGAAGGGATAGATATGGTTGAAAAGAGTAAAATTACACTGGATTCACTGGGAAAGGAGATGCAGGAAAAAAACAGGCAAATACAGGAGATGATGATATAGAAGTATCATCCTGAATACAATGAGACAAAAATCATTGCAATGTAGACTTTTTAAGAGACTAACTTGATTTTATTGATTTTTCTTTTCTTCTGATTCTTAGGGCCATGTTTAGAGTTAGCCAATTAAATAAGCTGCTTTTAAAATACTTCAACGAATATAAGAAATGCAATATACATCCAGACTTGAGCTAAGATAAAAGTATAAAAAACATAAAAGGCAGATACATTTTGTATTTGGTGGCTTGAAACTTTGTGACATAACTATTAGCTAACTTTTAGCCAGTTAGCTCTCCTTGCAGTTTACTTGTTTGTAGAATGGATAAGAAAAAAAGTAGTCGAAACTGGTATAACGTTCTGTCAGACAGTTAGAGTTAGTTCGCTAAAATTGCACTTGATACCACAGTAGTGTACAGCACATCCTGATAAAAATGAAGAAAGGAGCATACAGGACTGTTTGAGACTGTCAGAAAGTGTTAAGCTTATGGATGTGACAAACGACAGTCTATAGGTTCCAGTATGCATTTACTTTTCTTTGCCCAGAATCTTACAGTAATATCTGTGTTGTGATGACGACCAGTTCCCCACCACAGTAGGAACAAAATAAGTTTAACGTATTAATAGCAGACAACTGAACCCCAACTATCTAAACAGCCATAAGATCTAAATACTAAAGAACACAATTTCAGCATTAATTCCTTAATATTTACCTTTTGCTTAACTCTTAATATGGCCCTTATTACTTTATTTACTTGATGTGTGAGAAGTTGTGTATTCTAAATATTATTTTACTAATTTACAAATGTTTAATCATATACTAAAAATAAAGGCAATTCCAATGTAACTTTAAGGTGGATTATCAATAAAGCATAAAAAAATAAATGAAAGAATGCTGTCTCCAAATGTCTAATACACAAATATGAAACATTACTGCTACTGTGTCATTGCTATTGTAGTTATTCACAGAAAAACTAAAATTGCTCTTAGCAAAGGAGCTGTGTTCATATACTTTCTAAATGGCACCATCTAGAGGCTGTCTACAATTCACTAAGATGAAACTAAACATTCATTCAAGATATGTCAGTGGCTGTTCATCACTCTAACAGGTTTTTAAACAGACACTCTGATGAGCCACAGTTTCTCTACAGTTAAATAATGAAATGAAATGAACATAGTATTTGTGCCATTCTCAGGTTTTCCACTTTCACAACAGAGCCTAAGATGATGATTTAACAGATCATTGTAAAAATAATGTTTTTTTTTTTTAATCATGCCTGAAATCTCAATTAGTATATCCTGATTAAGTTGTTTGAGATAACTGTCATGGATAGAGACCACGATCAGTGATTGGTTACAGTAAATACTTAATACTCTACATAGTGTGTTAAAATATTTGCAATAAAAATGATGTTGTAGTCTAATGAAATAGATATAAATTTTACCAATTGTGGCTTGAACCTCGTTTGTTGTTCAAGGACACATAGTAGATTTCACACACCAATCCACCCATCTCCATCATGTTAACGAGAGGAAGATGCTGGTTATGACTGATTAAGTTACAGGAACTGAAAGCTTACAGGTATCAATACAGGAATTGAAATCTTCTATTCAACATTATAAACATCATTAATGACATACTGTTCATGTTTTTCTACAAGGGTACCATGTCACTTTTACTCTTTACTTTGATGCCTGGAGTGCATCTGACTTTGCTTCTTAATTTATACCCAGTTTCTGTAACATGAATGCAGAACATGAATCCTGAATTTACAAAAGTGATACTAGAGTTCAGTAGAGTTAGAAAGGTTTAAAAAAGTTCAATTATTATTATTTGGACAGTATAATTATGCACTAATTAAATAGGAATATCTGACAGTCTTGATCTTGGGGGACATGTGGCTGGTCCCCACAAGGCCCTCCTTTCCATTACTATGTCACAAAGATGGTAGGACTGTGAACAAGTGTAATCATGCCAATATTACTATTATCTGCGTATTTACAATCATGAAGCTCACTCATATGTTTGTAAGATGCATGCTGTTGCACATACGTTGAATGTTCTAATGTAAATTTACCAAGTCAGATTTCTGAGTACATTTAGCAAATAAAGATATTATGACTCCCCAGGTATAAATATCACAAAAAACATTTATGATGTTATTTTAAAATAGCTTACTTTAATTGAGGTTCATGTCTGTAAACCATACCAGATAGCATAATTAGTTTTTTATAAATTTTTTATTTTGTATATATATAACACTTTTGTAAGATTGGTAACACCCAAATATAAACCTTGTAAACAAAAATTTATTTACAGTAAGTGTTAAGGCACTTTGAATTTTGAGGCTTGGTGTGATGTCCAAATCTAAGAACATTCAAATGTGAGCCCATATACAAGCTTTAAAAATCAGGGCTTAAAATTACATTAGTGTCAACTTTTAACACTGTGGCTTGTCGGTTATAAAACAACCTCTCCAATCTCATGGTAAAAAAATAGAGCAATCCACCAGCCTGCGATTGTAAAGACACACATGCCCTACTTAGGGCTCCTTCCTTCCCTATCTATAGTGTGATTGAAATATTACTGCATTCAGGTCATGCAACTGGAATCACTGGAGAAAGACGGTTCGGCCTGATCCTCTCCCTCTCCCTCCACCTCTAGCTCTTCCTCTTCCTCCTCTTGTCATAGCTGGGCCTTCTTTTATCACACCCCTTCCTCCACCTCTTCCTCCACTAATCTCTCCTCTTCCTCGTCCCCGCCCTCGACCCCTCCCACTTTCTCTGTTTAATCTTGGGCCTCGCCCTCTCATCCTCAAACTAGTGAAGCGCTCATTCAGGGACAGCTGAGTCTGCAAAAAATACAAAAATAAAAATTGAACAAGTAGTAACAGATTTTCTTAGTATGCAACAAATGAAAATGTTCCTTCCAAAATGTTTCTGCTTTTGAACATGACACAATAGAGCAAGCTAAATGCAAAACTGTGTAACACTGCAACAGTTTCACAGACTGACGCTACCTAGACAAGGGTTATGATGTTTAACTGGTATGATGGTAGATTGCAATAAAGAAATGTTAAGTAAATATATAACATTTAAATACAAGAAATCATGAGAAACTCTGGTTTACATATGCACCATTGTACATTGTTCTGCTTTACTAAATGCTATACGTAAAGATTTTATTCAAAATATTCCAAACCAAATAACTGGAGGTGATTGTGCAGTAGCTCTTGGAGTTAGTGTTGTTGGTGGTGTGCGTGTGTGTGTGTGTGTGTGTGTGTGTGTGTGTGTGTGTATATATATATATACACCTGGTTGGTGGTTGCTTTGTAATTGAAGTGCAGAGGGATGCCTTTGGGTGTTGGCCTGCTGCTCACTGCCTCAGATGACCTGCCCCTCAACACTGTACCACCCCGCTGAGGCCTCGCTCTTAGAAGGAAAAGAGAATCAGAATAATCTTAGCGATATAAATAAAATCCAACAGATAAATTCACAAAAAAAAAAAAGAAAAAAAAAATACACAAATGATAATTTAGAGAGGGCTTCAGGAAATCAGGCTCTACAGGGCACCTCCCACACGCACACATGGTGGAGGTGACCAAGTGTGAGGAAGCTGGATTTGGCAGAAGGATACTACTGCTCTTTGACCTCAGAGAAAAGAGCAGATCAATTGGGACAGATAACACCAGAAGGATATCTCACAGCAGCAGTAATGGACTCTGACCCCTGTGCTCCAGGATGCCAACAGACTTTGATATGTGCATGCCTACAGGAGGAAGGTTATGGTTGGAAGACTGCACATTCCATGTAGGTAATTCTGTAAACCTCAGGGCCTGTTCAGTGACCCTAATTTAACATCACTGCCGTTTCCAGTCAAAGCCAAGTTCACCGTTCCCCGTGGTCTGCGTACGCGACAACACTTGGGAGGTGTCCGCTGCTTTCGGCCACATAGAGGGCTCCATCAAGTGTAGCTGGTGCTTGTAGGAGTAGTAACCCATTTTCCAGTCCCTCCAATTTACAAGCATTCAAGAAACTGCTGGGGACCCCACCTAACCCACTGTGGTGCCATCTCCAGGACTCCTGGTAAACCTAGCCACATGCCAGCGAGGCCCCTTCAGTACTCCTCACAGAGGACAAAACAGGAGTGGAGCTAGGCCCTGAAGATAAGAGAATGGTAGTCTAAATCTAACTTTGTGATAATTTCTAGCAGATACAGAAAAGAGAAGCTTTACTCAGGATCAGAAAACAGATAAACAACTAAAAACCAGTGGTGCCAAATGCTGTTCATAGACCTACAGTGGGATCCAAAGGTCTGATGAAAATGCTTCTATTTTGCATTCTTTTTAAATTTAATATTTAGTAAATTTAATAGTGTAATAACTAAAATTAAATTATATCATCAGCAGTAGCCTGGGTCCCTGGAGGACTAGTGGTTAGGCCACAGTGCTCTCATAGCCGCGGCCTGGGTTCGATTCCTGGCCAGGGAACCTACCCCAGCCACTGGGGTTGCATGCAACAGTGCGCTCTCAGTGCCAGTCCCAAGCCTGGATAAAATTGGGGAGGGTTGCTTCAGGAAGGGCATCCTGCGTAAAAACTGTGCCAAATCAAATACGTGGACCAATGATCCGCTGTGGCGACCCCTAACGGGAGCAGCCGAAAGAGGAACATCAGCAACAGCAGTAGCCCAATTTAGAAATATTTACATGAATTTCAGCATTTCTTAGTATTTGGTATTTCCCTTTCTGATATAATGACAGCGCATTTGAGCTGGCATGCACTCCACAAGTTTGTAAAACTCATTCATTTAACATGAAATTGGTGTGTCTTCTGAACAGTCAGGGACTCAAGGAAAATCTGACCTTTTGTACAAAGAAGTTAACATGGTCAATATCACAAATTTGCTTACATATTAAATATTCAAAATATTGAACATTTACTTTCTTGGTTTTAAATATTTAAAAAATTCCAAAATTTCTGTTACCAATTATCAATTTTAAATGAAAAAGAAAAAAATCCCAGATTTTCAATGTGGTTTCAGACTTTTGGTCCCCACTGTATGCAAGTAACTGCTACCCCATTTCCATTTGGGGCAGCCTCCTGTGATACCACAAACAATTCTGCCAATGCTGCCAGAGAACTTTGCCTCTTGAAACAGCTACTGGCTCCTCTTGTACCTTTCCATATAGTTAAATTGCTATTGACATAAATCACAATGGTTGCCGGAGGTTTAGCAGTGCATCTGTACACATACCCCAAGGCACAGATGGAGGAATTATTGCTTAATAACTCTTGTCATCTTTCCAGCATCTCACCACCAACCACACACCCTCCTAGTGGATGGCTCAAACAAAGAAAGCCACCTCTTGAAAGCAGGACTAAATCCATCATTGACCGCAACCACAGCACTCTGAAAATCAGCGTCAAAAGCAGAAAAAAGCACATATGCTCTAGGAAAAACAATAAAACTGAACAACATGGGAGACGAAGATGATGACACATGAGTGTTTGCCAATGTGACTGTATTTCTAATCCAAGGCTCTCACAAGTTCTACAGGGTGGCAAAACCGCACATGTCCTTATTCCTAATTGTGTCTTGCTATTTATTACAATGGTATCTTTCTAATTTTATATTACTGTCATAACCACATATTGCAAACACACATTTATTTTCTAAATCACTTTGCAACCAAGCTGTTTAAATATTTTTAAAAATGTAAAATGATAAATGATGGAGAAACTCACTGAGTCACAGGTGGTGATTTTGCATTGGGCAGTGACACTGTTAACGTTGTGCCGGGAGTAGATGTAGTTCTCTGACTTTACACAGAGCAAGAGTGCAGACAGAAAAAAGAGATAGAGAGAAATGGAAGAATTATGCATTGGTGTGCACTAAGACCTTCCATCACATTTACTTTTGTCTAAATATACATACCCTCTTATTTTCTGATATCTTTCCAATTTGCCAGTGCCTCTCATAGCAGTGAACTATAAACAAATATATATAGTAATTAGGATCTACATCAATCCATCAAATCTTATTGTTTTGATTAGTGTGGAAAAGACAGATTAAGCAATCAGCATAAACCAACTCACCCCTCTGTCTAATGCAAATGGTCTTCCACCTCTCTGGGGAACTCGCTGACCTCTCGCTGACAAAGCTCCCCTACAACATTATGAACAACACAATAATCAATATTTAGTTCAATGTAATATATAAGCTTTAGCTGATTCAAATGATTTCAAATGAGTCCTTATAATGTAGAAGAGTGGGTGATATATATATATATATATATATATATATATGAATGTGATAATCTTATACCTGCTCAATCCTCCTCGTCCTCTTCCTCTCCCTCTTCCTCGCCCACGGAACGAGCCTCTCACTGAGTCTGTGCTTTGACCTTGCTGCTCTCCTGTCTGGAAAAAAAAAAACTTTCACTATTTTAAACTAACTCCTTTCTGCATTTTCATGTTGTTGCTGCTTTTAGTATGATGGTAATATGAGCTACGGTACATCTTTTCTTTATTCAATTCATTATATTCATACCACTTACTCATCCACATTATTATACGCTTTACAAATATCATAAAAAAGTCTGTATTTTTCTGTCCATGATGTGATGCATTCTACTAACCTTAGTATTAGCTCTGTCAAGAGGACTCAGACCGCTCTGTCTGCCCGAACCTCTGCTCCTGTTCAGACCACGTGACCTGATTGGCCCTGAAATAATGTAAATAATTAGCTCTTAGCTCTCCTTTCCGTCCAATTGATCTGCTAGGTCATCACTTTAGATTTTACAGCAATACAACCATAAATAAATTTGGGTCAAAAGTGCCCATTTTCATTATTTTAAATAGCAATGGATACGTTAGAGGGTATACAGATAGAAAAATAGATGCACACACAGACATAGTAATGTTAATTCAGTACCCTGATACTGCAGTGAACCGCGTCTGAGGCCTCTTCGTGCCTGTGGTGTCTGGTTAAGCTTCTTCAGTACATTATTCCTGTTTGTAACACGCCTGCTTCTTGCCCTGTTCGCAGCTCTGTTTGCTTTCTGCTCTTTTTTATTCAGCTTGATGATCTCGTCTGGAGGGTAGGAAGAAGAAAACAGTTAGTCTGCGCCTCAGTTCACATTAAATACCACATTACAGGCTGAAAATAAAAGTGGTGTAAGATATCTGCTTAACAAAGGCTTGCAATTTAATGTGAGGAAGATCTAGAATCAGGTAGCAATTGTCAAATGGAAAAGCAGTCTGTCTAAGCAGAACGGCAATGAAGAACCTGTACAAGACCTTCATATCATCATAGAGATGTTCATAAAGGTCATGTGAGGGTTCATTCAATTGAACATTCAACACTGCCACATGCAAATAATAAATATCAAGATAACTGCCAAAAGATTTATTATGGTTTACAAATAATTTCAGTTCATAATATTTTGAATTCAAACCATGTTTTTAAACTCCTCAGGAGGAGTAAATAATGAAATTGTAATTAACATAAAATTGTCTCAAGTCAAATTGTCAGCAGTTTTATCTTTCAAATTGCAGCACTTTCAAAAATGATGTATTCTATTTAGGTGTTATCTATGCAAATATGAAACCCTTATTATTTAGTATTAAAAACTTTACAAATTAAGGCTGGAGGCCATCCTAAGGAGGCAGGCACAAGTGGTAAATTATTACTAATTACTCATAATATTCCACAAAAATCAGCAATGGTTTGTAGACATGTTAAAATTTTTTTTAAACCTTTCATCACTGTGGTGTTTTAACACCATGTCTTCTTTGTAAGTATTATCTGGACAAACAAGAAGATAAACTCGCTGGACTTTAGTTGTTTTGAAGACGGCTTTTTGAAGATCAGTTATTTGTCTTTTCACCTAAAGTGTGTAGGCCATATTAAAATCCTCAGGATGCTAAAATATTCTTAAATCCACAAATGCTTGTAGGCATTTCAAAATGTAAAAGTCAGACTTTTTTAACCTTTCAACAATGTAATGTTTTAACACCATGCCTTCTGAGTAAATAGATAAAACCTGCTGAACTTGGAAGACAAGTTGTTTTGTCAGAATATTATCCAGAATGTTATTTCAGGGGTTTTGACCTACGAACAGCTGAGTCACGGTCAGTTGTTGACTGCGACAGGTGACGGTCATATTGCAGCCATCGAAACATATTTAAAACAAAACCCCTGAGGGGTTTGTGGATATATAACCCTACAAACACCCATGGAACAAGTCTGAAAACAATTTTTAAAAATTCTGTCAGAAGCCTGCTCAGAAGTCCAGCTTAGTCTGATCAGTACCAGTTGCCAAAACACAGGTTGGGCTGGTTTAAACTTGTAGACCATCTTTACCAGCTGGTAGATAGGAAACAGTGTCTGAATGACTGTTTAATATAAAGACAAATGCAGCATTAAATCTACTGCACCTTAAAAATAAGTAGTCTGGGGAGAAAGCCTTAAACCAAATGTGCTCTGGGTTGAACAGCTGAGTCACTAAAAGCTTTCAGTTGTTGATTCAGTGAACTGGAACAGGTGTTGGCTGAGGTACGCATTTGACAGACCGGAAATACGCAATGGAGAGTTCAGGATATGTTTTGAAAAGTGTTACAGTAGTTAAAAGTTTTTACCTCAGGTTTTTTTTTTTTCCTCTCAGCCTCATTGAGCGCATACAGCTCGTGCCACTTAGCTCGCGCTATAAGAGTAGTAAACTACAGCGTAAACAAACATGACTTTAAAAAAACAATTGCCTTTTTTTTTGGCTTCTCCCTTTACAAACACTCGGAATATGTTTCTTCCGTATCAGCCACACGATATCTTCATGACTCTAGTCTCGATACTCTCTCTCGTATCGCGTTCAGACGAACAGCACAAAACATTAACGAATTAAAAAAAAAACCTGGAGCGCGTGCTTTACAGAGCGACAGCTGATTAACGACGCGCTTTCTCTCGCGTGCGCAATGCGGAAGCGAAAACTACCACCGCGATTTTGATTACGAAAACAAACTCGTGACTTCACTTATGAAAAAAAAAAAATTAAATGACAATAATAATAATAGTAATCATAATCACACTAACCGAGTGACATGTCAATTTTGTCCGTTCCGTTGTCGGCTTGAGACTCGTCCATCGGCTCGGAAAACTCGCTGTCTCCCATTTGTGCTCCGGTTCTTGGCGCGCGCGCTGCCGCTTATGCAACTTTAGGCGATCAAAAGCAAGATGTCGTTTGGTTTTTGCAGACGAGACAAACCGAGAGCTCGCCCAGGCTGCAGCTCAAGGCTCCTCGCGTCACGTCGTTGAAAGTGAACGTGTTGAACTACTACATGGGAACGCTGCTACAGAAGTGCTTCGCCCTCATGTGGTGTGAATTAACGAGCCCGCGTGCCTGGAGCCCAAAATAGCACAAGCTCTAACAGCTGAAATGTGCAACACAGGGAAGTGTGACTATATATACACTGTGTGTGCACAGAGATGGGGGGA